ATACCACCACCTGCTTACCCATACCTATAAATATCCACCAACAGTAATCACAATTCACACAACATTCAGCCTTGATAATGGATGCAGAATGCTTTCGAAACGCGTCGGCCAACTCATCACTAGCTACAACTTTTACCCGTTGCTCTAACAACGTTAAGACGGCTTATCGACTTCTTGAGAAGAATTCTAAGAAGAAAGTAAACCTACAGACATCGGTCTTGTTTAACAAAATCTGCATATATATATATTTGTAAATATTTGAAGAACTACCAACAGTAGGCTTCAGATGGTCTTTTATATGCTGCTCTGAATAATACATTATTGATCCCACATAATCTCACACATATCAAGAACAAACATTGATAAACAATGTAGGAGCATTAAAGCTTATTAACTATTTCTTTATGGAATAGGTTGTTGTGACCAATCTTGTAACCACAGAGTAACCATTTGAATTTCCATACAATAACATTTAATACATTTTTGTATCTTCACAAAATTTGGTGGACTTTCAGTAAACATTAAAAGTCTTCTTTTTTATTTTATTACACAAAAATTCAGATTTTTTAATTAATTGTTTTTAATGAAGATTTGTCTGTGAATATATAGTTTCGACTGGTCTGAGTGAAAATTATTATCATGTTAAAATTAAAAATATTTCATCTGAGAATTTTCAATTATGTAAATTCTATCATTTATTTTGAACATGTTTTCAATTCTAATATTGATAGTAAACCACATCATGTGGATATTTTTTATTTCTGACAGCATACTGTCTTTATGCATATATGAGAGACTAACACACTTTATGAAGGGTGTACACTTAATTCAAAAAAGTTTTAAAATATATATATATATAAAAAATGTGATGGAACATCCATTTTGATATATTTTGTGGTTCCAAGAATGAACAAAATTTAAGAAACAGAGAGACCATGGTGGTCAAGAAACTATAACCAAATATTGAACATCTATAATAGAAATTATTCTAAACAGGTTAAGATACGCAGCTGAAGTCAATATCACTATCCTGTTTAAAATATGTTTGAATTGCATGAAAGCTTTTCTCTCTCAGATAAAGAATAAATACAACTATATTTCCTTGAACAAACAATTATCAGGAGGTTGTAAACATTTAACATACGAAATTTAAAAATTTTCTGATGCATAAAAGTATTTTTAATCATAAAATCAAAATTACTTTACATGTTGGAGTGTTAAAATTTGAAAAGAAAAAATGCACGAGAAAAACATTACTTAAAAAATCTTAAACTTAATAAAAAAATCTGATAGTTTGTGTAAAAAAAGCCTTGTCAAGTTTACTGATAATATGCAAAATTTCGTGAAGATACACTAATAGTTATAGCATGAAAACTATAACAAGCACGAAATGGTTACGAGGTCAGACCCTGGAACCGAGCCTGTAGTGAAAGAGTTAAGCCATCTTTTTGAAGATTATCTCCAGCATCTGGCACTGAATGTTGCACATTATAAATCTTCTATGTCCCTTTTTTTAAATCATTTCAGCCAACAGTGATTGTAAGTTAACCAAGTTGTTTTTGATAACTCATGTATATTTTCAAAAAAGCTACCTTTGTATCATGAGTCAAGAAAAGTAGCTATAATCATATTTGTTTTATCATTGGTGTAATTAAAAAATCTTTTTGTTGCAGAAGTTCTTAGAGATGCAATAGTACTCCCTAAGCCTCCAAATTTCCCTTCTATTTCTGCTTTGGAAAAAAATAATTGCAAAAATCTTATTTGAGGAATTATTTCAGATGCCATGCAATTTCTGTGGCTGAGTTTCACAGTTATTTTATTGCAGATTTTGAGGAGAGTAATTAGCTTTCCTATTAAATTCCACTCATTAGCATCCAGCACAGGAAGATTTGGAGTTTCTAAAATATAGCTGCCTATGGTAATTTTCTGTTCAAATAATCTTTCTAAATAGAAGTGCTATTTTATCTGGTTGAAACATCCTGTATAAGCTTATAAGATTATGCTGGTTTTGCAGCTCTTTTAGTTTGGTATAAGCAGTGTTTGAATGGTTGAAATGACCAAAATTAACAAGTACACTTTCTCTAGCTTTGAAATTTTAAATTCTTTTTGAAAACAATTTATTTTATTTTAGAAATTATCAGAATCCAAAAAGTTTTTATGAAATGTGTTATAGTGAATTCTCATTGAGCAAAATTATCCCAGAAATTGGAATATTAAAAATATTCTTCAATGCAGACACACATTCCATATTCTGGGATATGATTTGTCAATGAGCATGAGGTATTAATGGCCAAACACTATCATGATTACTAAAACAATAGTGCCATTATCACAAATGAACATAAATAAAAATGAGCACCATCTATTGGGTAGTATAAATAGGAAAGCAAGGTAGGGCACTGACAAGAATGAACCAGTAGTTTTCAACATTGCTTGATCAATTGTTTTGCATGGCCTAAATGTATTTTTTCCTTAATATTTTAAATGTAAAAGTGGTTAATAAGCCTAACAGTAATTAATTTTTCATCAAGTTATATGTCCAAATTAAATTTTAGACAATTTTCTATAGTATTTCATAGTGATCTGTAGCATTATCTTTGGAATAATTAAACAGTATTTATATAAAAAGTATCGGTGGTATCAGCCAAAAATTTACTGATCACAATACATCAGTACGTCACTATCAATGGTTATTAAAAAGAATCTAATTTGTCTCAATAAGCTATCTTGATCAAGCTGGGAATATATTCTGGTACTATTACCAGATAATAAACAAGGATTTGAAACTGATGAAGGTTAAAAAGTTAACAGTTAACAAGCTTCCAGTGACATATTGAAATCAATGGCTATTTACATGACAAAAATGGTCAAAGAAACTGAAATTACAGCAATCCCATTTGATAACATTCATGCAAAAATTCAGCTTAATCCTATCCTGACAGGCATTCTTTACTGTGCATGTCACGAGGTTTTAGCACCTTACATTTAAAATTTCATTGATCTACTTTTTGTTTACGTTATACCAATTAGTAGAGCATAAACTCTTAGCTAATAATCCATATTTTAATAGTATATAAGTTTTAAGTTCTTAATTTTATAAGGCAATATTTGAAAAAAACCTGAATTTCCCCTAGTGTGACACATTTTCTCTAGGCATTTTCTCTTCTCTATTTTATCCACCACCCCTCCAATAAGTATGAAATTAAACATAAATTATTCACTATAAAATCGTCATTGCTCAGACAAACCATAATTTTTATAACCTTCAACTTTCTTTGGTTACAGAGCTATCAAATAGAAAAGTAGACCCCTTTTGCCACACCCAACTGTCACATCCTCTCTTTCGGGATTTGTTAATAGTTCTCTCAAGTTAATTCTATATTATGTATAACCAAGAGAAAGCCAATGTTTTCATCTATCAAATGATATATTGTATAACATTATTTTCTGAATGGAGAATTATCAAATTTCGATTTTTTTTGGTGGTTATGAAGTCAGTCAAATTGTCCAACCTTGTATAGTTAGGGTGGAGAAAATAACAGATAAAATATAAAGTTTTATTGAAAACAAACATTTGAAATGTATTTAGGAGGTTTCAGAGATCACACAAATCAAATCTGAGATTTTTGAGATGAAAAAAGTATTCTTAATCTTAACATGAAAATTACTTTGCACATGAAGTATTCAAAACAAATACAGATTCATGGACAATTTTTTTTAAATTTATTTAAAATACTTCACAAAGAAAATGATTTTTTGTGAAAGACTTATGATGTTTACAGAAAGACTGCCAAATTTTGTGAAGATATACATACTGTATTAAAAGTTAGTAGTATCAAATCTATAAAGACTTTATATGAGTACAAAGAATTCATGTGGTTGGTCAAATTGACCGAGACCATGTTGAGAGAGTTAAACTAAATCTTGGAAGCCATTTGACCATGTATAGTGAAGTATCTGCATGGAGTTTGTCAAAATGAATGGTCTATAATTATCTTCACCATTCTTTACATAAGCTTGTTACAAAGGAAGTTACACTGTCAGGAGTAGTGCATAATCATGGTGAACAAAACATGTATGAGGTACAATGGAGGAAGTAGATACAAAGACAGCAATGATCTGAAGAAATAACTTTCAGCAATTACTGTCATTGAAATTCACATTCAAAAGCAAATGCGTACATATACACTTAGTAACATAAGATGGCCTTCCATTAATATTGAGATCAAAGTCACACATCTTAAATATCTATAAAATCAAAATAACAACAGATATTGAGTATGAAATGCCATGTCACTAGATGCTTGAAACATTGCTACATCTAGATTTATGCTAATAATGTCATTAATGTAACAAGTCACTGTTCTATCCTTTCATAAGCTTCATATGAGATGCCACATTTCAAAAATGATTACGTTACATATTAGGAAGAAAAGGTAACACCGTCTTAGGAAAGTAGTCAGGTGAAAACACAACATACAGGAAACAAGTTTTTGATTATCACAGGCCATTCATGCTTTGGAAATTATACTGGTGTATGGGATTACTACTTAATTGATACTTGGTAATCCATCACTATATTTACTGGTCTCAGACCATAAGAGCAGCATTTATTTTGTATGATCCATATGATGGATGTAATGTAAGCATAGGTATCAATAATTGTAGAAATGTGACTTAACACTACACAGTAATAAGTTCAGCAATGAAACTTAACAATAAATAAATTCTCAGATGAAACTTAACTATAACAATAATGACAATGACTTTTCACTTGTCTGCATAAATATATTAATGCTTTATATGCAACTTTAAAGTTACTTCTCATGTAATTTTTCTCACCTTTTCTAAAGTTTCATCATGAAATGGGAAGTCTTTCAAAACATGATTATACTCAGCTTGGTTTACCACTTGGACTGGTTGGTAGTTATCATCATCAAAGATTTCCCTAAAAACTTGAACCCACTTCTTCATCAGAATCTCAATATACTGGTCTCTCAACTCCACCAGCAGGTCAGACAACTGACCAACAGGATAACCATAACTCTAAAAAAAAATAGTATTGTTTAAAAACCTTGGAATAATGTCCATTCACACAAGGTAGAAAATATAAAACATACATATCAAAAGTATACCAAGCAAAAAAAACAATTAACCCTCTGAATATGGGTGGAGGTCAAAGTGTAAATTATGACTTTTAATAGTTACATGGAAAATTTAATTACAAAACTTTATTTTCAATGTATGTTAATATGCTTGACAGCAATCAGTTAAAAATTCAAATTTTTATATTATCTTATATTACTTCATTTTAAAATGAAATATTTAAATAAATCCTCAATCTGCAACTCTCAATAAAAAATTTAGCTAATGATAAGTCTGCTTTTTAGATAGAGTATATTTTTTATTTTCAAGTTTGTAAACATCAGCAAAGAGTTTAGCATGTATTAAACAAAGGATAAGACAGTATTATACTTTATTAAGCCAGCACTGAAAAATGACCTTCAGTTGATATAAAAACACTTACCCTGAATTAGAAAGTAATGTTAAGTCAAACAAAATAAGATGCTTACCCCTAGAGTGAAACTGAACAACATTATCAAATGTTTCACTTTCAGCATCAGGTCTGCATCAGTACAGTATGACTGTATAAAATACAAAAATAACAGTAACAACACCTAAATGATTATCTCATATATTCAAGTGACTTTTCAACTACCTTACATTCAAAACATTTATAATGTTATTCCAAAAGAACAAAGTCTCTTCAAATAATTTCAAAAATACTGAACTTTTAACTCCATTCCTAGCTTACAAGAATATTTCCCTTTTTAACTTTTACAAAAGAATCCAGGTTTATTGAACCATGCAGAAATTTTGCTGTCATGGTCATACACATAATTCTACTTTCAGCCAATCCAAAGATAGCTGAAACTTAAAAACACCTTGTCAACAAAAGATGCTACTTTTATAAATCCACCACACATCATTCTCCCTCAATACTAATATCAAACAAAACAGAGGCAAAATTAATAATGTACATGTGGAATATTTCTAATATCTTGATATCACCACCTTATTTTCTACAAAAGGTAAAAACAACCCATAAAAGAAACTGATACATTTCAGAAACAGCACTTCTTGTGACAGAAATCATTAACTGTTATTGATCTGAAAAGATGATCATTTTGTAATTTTATAAATAATTGGTTTTATTATTTCCTTTTAAAAATATGAGAGAAAAACAAATCAATAGCAGTATTTTCAGAATTTCATTTTGTTTGCCTAAAATATGTCACTTCTTAGTAAATTTAATCTTTTTTGTATCTGTAAATATATTTTGTAATAATACTATAAAATTATTTAGAAATAAAAAAAGTTATGACATTTTTTAACTACTTAAGTTCACTGTCCTACTGGCTAAGAGTAATAATTTTTGTGTGAGCATCTCATGTTCTTTCTTATGGACATCTGTAAAATTCAGTCATTACAATCAATATCTAAAAGACAGAAGAGTAACTTACCGAGTGATTTCTTAAAGAAGCTAATATTTTGGACAAAGCATTTTCCCACACTTCTTCAAGGTATGCTCTATTCACTAGCCCACTTGCAGTATTTAGTATATGATCTTCAACAACGAAGAACCTGAAAGATAAATATTATCACTTTTTTTGGTCATTGTTTGAAAGTCTTATATACAAAAAACATTCATTTATCAATGAATTTAATTCACAATTACCAATAAGTTATGTAAAGACTTATTTCACAAATATTTTTTAATATAATACTTAACACAAAAATGAGAAATCTTGGCATTTTCTCTGACTAAACCAACAAAATTTTGATGTGGATATAAAAACACCAAGAAAAAACTCAAGAAAGTAAGCACAGAGATTGAAACTCAGTTCCTGACTATAAAAACATATATTATGATAATTCTTAATTATATCAAATACAAAACTGAAATTTAATTTTCTATAATGTGAGGCTTTAAAATCAGATGGTGATTATATCATCAGAAAACTATAAATGAAATTCATCTTCCAATATTATAAAGTTTCAGACATTTTTAAGAACTTACAAACAACCTTTTCATTATATATGGCTACTTTAACATGTAATCTTGTGGTAAGTTTCTTGTAAGCATGTTATTGACCTATGTCATCACTTTTTTTCTCATAAATAGCAATAATTCTGAAATTCACTATTAAAGTTTATAATAGAACAATCTAAGACTTCATTAGTAAACTTTAATGTTCCATATATTTTAAGTTTTTAGCCCATAGTCAGATTCATACATTTAGCATATTTTCCAGTAAACAATTAACATACAACACTTACCCAACTATACCACTGAAGTAGTTTCTATACCCATTTACTGTTTCGTGCTAAAAATAAATGAAATTAATAATGTTGAGATAAAAATCTCACTTTGTTAGTAAAAATACTTTCTCAGTAAACCTTTTGTATATACTGTACACAAAAAAAAAAATTACTTAAATTTGATAATAGAAGAGATGCCATCTCTAACTGACGTCAAACAAGAATACCAGCCTAAAAAATTGGAATATAAACAGAAAAATAGGAATGATTTGATTTCTTTAGTTACTTTTTCACCATGGAAAATGCTGAAATCTGAAGAGTAAAACATACAAATTCATGATTTTCACTTATTTTGAGCAGTATATTCAGACATACATTTTTGCGACATTCATGCTTAGCAAGAGTTCTGTATTAAGATGACAGTAGTAATTATAGTGGTTGATGTTTCTCTATTTTTATTATCATTATTCCCACCTTTAGCTTTCTTTACAGATATCATCTGGCTATTAAACTTACCTGACATTAGTTGTTTTTTCTATTCCTGATGTTTATGATGATGTTTTCTGATATACCACAGTTCTCTACAGGGATGCAATTTCTTCATATATTCTAATTGATTTTTCTTATTATTTTCATCTTTACTTTAGAATGTAAACTTACTTGTTTCTTTTAATTTCCTTTGTTGTGAGGGTATGGTAGAATCCTCATATGGAACTCTTTTTTTTTCCCCTTATTCTACTGTATACATTTTCAGCTAGATGGCTTTTATTTTGATATCTTTATGATAAAAATAATGTCTGCCATAACTTCTGATTGTATTATCTATCAATATGATTTCTGACAGGCAGGTACTTTATTAGGTGTTATGGAAGTGTAGAAATATGGTCTGATTACAACAGTAGAAGTACAAATGCTTAAATGACTATAATTTCATCAGTGTTATTGTTTCATTTCACCCTATAATAAATATAGTGAATCATGTTATACAAAATCCTCAAAACATAAAATTTAAGAAACAAAATTAGAATTAAAAAGAGTATAACTGTAATCTCATAATTTGGTGTCAAAAATCAGAATGACTCCACCAAAGATAGGAATGAATACCAACTCTGTAATAATTACAATGACACTTTGAAGTTCAAGACCTCCAAAAGCTATACATACACCAAACTGACCAAAATTCTCAAAATGGAGAAAACAACAATTTAACCCTAGAATTATCAGTGGGGTTCAAATGAACTTCATCTAAACATATTTTTCTAAATTATTTATATACCAAACTGCTAATGGATCCATGACTTTATTGGTTACAGTATTCACAATAATGTAAGTCACACAGACACAAACAACATTTAACTAAAATGCTATCAAAATTGCAATTAATTATATCATAATACTTACTACTGAGGTTTCCTGTGTATTTTACACCAAAAATAAGTGATTTTACCTAATTTTTTGGCTAGTTCTTCAATCCTTTCCAGGGACTGAAAGTTAACATTTTCCAAAATTGAAAATATATTCCCAATCATACTTACCTCCACTCATATTTATAGCTATTACTCAACCACCAAGGTTTCATCTTTGCCCATCTAAGCATTGGTCTAATTTTTTCTCACTTGCTCCAGTCTTTTATACCCCACTCAATTACCCTTGGCGATATATGTCTCGTAATACTCTCCACCTACTTCAATGCACTCTCTATCCTGGTACTGTATATAACAACTCATTCAGATAATATTATCACTTTTTCGAGACTGATACTATCCCAGTTTCTAACACCGGTTCTCAGTGGGGAGGAATGTTGGGAGAGTGAGAGAGGTAGTATGATTGGAAATACATTATCAAATTTAGAAAAATGTTAACTTCCAAAACATACATACCTCCACTTTCCACTTTTTAAGTAGAATCCAACATTCAGAAGGTGGAGGGGCTGGTGAGGGCATTATCCATACAGAAAGCACCCGTATAGATCATGGGTGTACCAAGATAAGAGTGGTATCCAAATTGGGGAACTGCACTACATCCAGAATAGGTATGCTCTTCACCATGAACTTAGTTCCTGTATCAAAGGTGGAATTGTACATGAGTAATCATCAGTATAAGCCAGCCCCAACCAGATAACCGAGGTTCCACAACTCGGGGTTGGAATTAAGGGATCTTGGTCCCTATATCTCATGTTGGTGGCTAGGGCAATTGGACTGCAACTTTAAATATAGATATGCTTTTGATTGGATCCCAACCTGTAGTCATAGATTGATGCGTTCCGAACCACCGGAATCACAACGAGAAAGTAAGCAACACCGAAGAGGACAAACCGTCTCCTCCACCTGAAGAAGCCCGAAATACAACACCCCAGGCTTAGAATGATGGAATCATGTATGCCTTATTCAACCAAAGGAACAGAACTCATCTGGTCTGGAATTATGTTTGCTTGTATTTAAGCACAAAGCTACACAATGGGCTATCTGTGCTGTGCCCACCATGAGTTTCGAAACTTGTTTTTTTGCATTGTAAGCCTGCAAACATACTGCTGAGCCACTGGGGGCCTGGAATTATGAAAATTCATCCTCACTTCCCAACCGAGAGAGCGAGGAGCCTTCCACTTGCCTCTGGAATTATGGGGAGAACGTGTAACAACTGTGCTCAACCAAGGACCCAGAATGGGACCACTCTGCATTCGGAATTATGAGAAGATAGTGGACCTCCTTCCATGAACAATATACTGAACCAATATTGATCAAAAAGAATGGCCATGCACACTTCAACCGAATAGTGTAAAATAAAATCTGAACCAGTATTATGAGTAGGCTCCCGCATAGGCTGGTGCTGCTCCTACTGACATCTGGGAAAAACATCAAGGGACCCAGGCAGGAGAGCTTCCAAATTCACCCTATTCTCCAAGAGTGGAGGAATTCACTCTAACACTCTGGAGGAAAAGCCTCTGTCTACCACCCCAGTGTCTGGAAACTGGGTGTGGTAAGGACTTCCCAGATCCACTAGTAGAATCTGGGGAATAATGCATGTTGGGGAGTCTGAGGAACAGTGCAATAGGTGAACCAAGTTCCCTAAATTTTGAAAAGCAAACCGACCCCAATTTATTCAATCCAATGATTGGCAGGGACGAGCAGGATCCCCTTTAGCTTTATTCATGATAGTCCATGAGTGGCAGTCCAACATAGTAATGTAATAACACCTAGTAAGCTCCTAAATGGTCTTATGGAACACCTCATTTATACAGAGCCTGTTGCAACTGGTAGTAATTATAGTGAAATAGTGGTTGCTAGTGCAGAATTGGTTTGATAAAGCACACCAGTCTGGGCAACACTCGCCACAGAGTGGGATCCTATGAAAACAAGGTAAGGGACCCTGAAAGGTAGAAATAAAAAATACTCACCACACTGGATAATCTAGCAGAAATAGTTAAGATAAGCAAAAACCCTCAGATGAGACGAATAATGTAAGATAAAGGTTTTGGGGGAGGTCCACAAACCAGTTTACACAGTGATCTCCAGAGAGCAATTCGACCGGGCTGCTAAGGACATAGAAGAGAGAAATCTGATGAGATGTGATGCACGGAACATACCTTGCCTTCACAGAGAACCCAGAATACAGTGTTGTCCAGTGTCTCTAAAGGTATAAGTGCAGGCAACAAAATCTTCAAGACCCTCACTGAACATGACCAATATCGAAATCTGATTGGACATAGAGAGAAAGAGTAAGCAAATGAATCACAGAAAAGGACTGAACCCCTTTCTTGTCTGCCAGTGTGTTGAGTAAGAAGAACTGGACTGAGAACATAGAGAATTAGAAAGTGGTCTGTAGACAAATAGCACAAATTACTTCAACTGGTGATGTCCATAGGTCAGCAGCCATGAAAAATAAACCTGCAGGTAAAGGGGATACATGGCATTTAAGAGTCAGGTCACAAACAGGTGAACAGAAAGAACACATAACCTGAATCTACCTGTTAGGTAACTGGAATGGTCATTTGGGACCAACTACTCAAAATGATATGAGGAATCTAGAGATTACTGGGGACTCAAAAATATATAGTTGCAATAATCAAACAGTAGTCGATAAGGCCAACATAAGCAATGGTGATTGTGGAAGATGCAAAAAACTGCTATCAAAGAGCCAAGTAAAAAAAAAAGGGTTATGGCTGACACCACTGATTGAAAAGGGTTCAATCTGCTCTCAATACAACATTGCTGATATGCATGTCATTACCTCTAAGAAAAGTGACTTCTGGACTAAGCAGAAACTGAGCCAGATATATGTCAACCTTGGAAATGAAACCACAATGTCGAGTGAAAGACAGCATAACATCTATGTCAGAAGCTTGAGCATCTGGATAGCCGGGTGCATCATATCTGCCTCCACAGAAAGTCTAAAAAAAAAGTGGAAGAGTTGGACACACTAGAAGGGACTGCAAAAGCAGAAACCAGGGTGTAGCTACCAATCTAGTGTGATCAACAGGATCTGACAATAGATTGGAACAAATCAAATTTCATACCCTGGGTAACATATGAAGTGGAAAGAAGATTGAGTGGTAATCCCATCCTGTCCAGATGGAAAGCATCTAGTGCCAAGGCCCAAAGATGAGGTACTAGAGACCAAATTGCCAGTAGTTGGGTGATCCAATGAGAGGCAATCCAACATCTATTCTGTCTGGAGAATCTGTTTGGATTGAGACAATTGACCAACTACCACATGCTTCACCTGAGAAACATGGAAAGCTAGAAGGGTGATATGATAAGACTAGTCCCGAGAAAGGAGGTCTAAAATTCGAAAATAGGGAGCCCTATCCCACATGCCTCCTTGCTGAGAACATGAGACACCACCATGGAAAAGTCAGAGTGAAGTCTGACGATTTACCCCTTAAGAAGCCCAGACCATGAGACCTTGCCTGTTGAAGAGCAAGAAGAACAAAAACATTGTGTAGGGAATTCTCATCATCCATGCAGAGACTGGAATTCCTGACTGATGGTACATGTACCCCATCCCTGAAGCAAGGCACTTGTGAATAGAATGGAACTCTGGACGAGGTGATAGTAGAGGAACCCAAACTGTAGTAGCGTTCCGACTTAACAACCCCTCAAGATCAAAGAATGATCCAGACTAAGGAAACTGGGGAAACCAAGAAATAAAGGTGTACGATCCCTGGTTGCTTAAAGACCAATAAAAGGATCAGTTGTGTTCTTGTTCCAAAGGCCCCAACCAGGTGATTAAGAGTGTGGCATCCTATTCCCTAGCATTGAGCAGGATGGGAGACAGCTGACCCCGACTAAGGAAAAAAAAAAAAGAGATGAAAAATAAAAAATACCTGGACTGATGACATTGAATTGGAGCAAGAATAGATATCACAGTTCCAAAAGAGAAACCTGACTGGGTTGTATCTGAAAGCAAAATCAGGATGTGATGGCAAGAGATTGCCAGCAGTAACCAGTCATCCATGGAATGTTACGTGCAAAGTACGATGGAATAAAGATGACGAGAAAACTCGTACAATACAGCAGAACCCGTGTTAAGCCTATGTGAGGCCAAATTAAAAAACTCGGAACTGCCATACCTGACTCTTGTACACCATAAATGCTGATAGTGGTGGGACTCCACTGCTAAGGCAAAGTGCAAATAGGAGCCAACTACAACCAAGCTGGACATCTACAATCATAATAAAAAAATCAACACAGATTGAGGAATGATTAACTTATGAACCTTGTAGAATATAGGCATTGATATAGACAAGGAAGATTGATGACTGGACACCAATCTCCTGTCTTAATAGGCCCAAAAACTAACATAAATAAAACTCTGAAGAACTAGCCCAACACTCTCACTACCTCCAGACCAACCAGACTCAGATAACCCTAGAACTAAGTTCAAAGTCCCGATGAACTGCATGAGACAGATACCCTACAAGTTAGGTGGATAATAGTGAGAAAGATGTTAACTGAATTACCAAACGTCCGGAAAATCTTGGAACTGAGTTCCCACAGCACCAGAAGGTATACAATAATCACAGACACTGCTGGTAATCAAACTAAGCAGTAGAAACCTTGTATATTGACAGAATCTATCCTGAGTACCAATATACTGAGGAGCTGATGTTGGGGATTGGTACTCACAAAAAGGGGCAGAACTATAACCCCCCTATAAGAGCCAATGAAATTAGAGACTCCAACAACAACCAGGAGGAATGTAGAAGCCGAAAATTGAATCACCATGCATGCTAACAATGGATCCAGCTTGTCCTCAACGAAACTGGTGATCTTGAGAGACTTGAAAGGAAACAGAATGTCGAAGGTGAATTGTAAGTCCATGGACTTACTCTGTTCCATCAGAGTACATAGGTGAATTACAAACTCTACCTCAGAATCCCGATATTGGAGGAGCAGAAATTATATGAGAGTCGAAAAAAATGCCTCCATCTGGTGGTGGTAAGTGAAATCACAAAGTCCAGACAATGTGTTGGATAAGGCCTAACTGTCCCTTCACATAACTAAAAAGTAAACCTTCCAGCATGAACAACAATTTCTGTGTATAGAAAAAAAAAATCGTTCCCAGACCTTTCAGCCATCAATTAAGTTGCAGGCTCAAAAGCAAGTGGCCTCCTTTTAATTTTTCATTGGTCATTTAAATACTATGGTGATTATCACTGATTGGAACAGCATCTTGTGAGGTAAAGTAAGTTTTTTGTAAGAGCAAAGCAATTGTGCTGCACCAACCCTAAAGAATTGAATCCAGGATCCTAGTGCTGCGAGTCCTTAAACTTACCACTAACCCACAGGGGGCTGAAAATCCAACAGATAACACAAGGCACAGGAATAAGCATATTCAAAGTCTATCCAAAACTTCAAGGATTGCCCTCAAATGCAGCCTCAGAGCCCCAGAGGACCACCACAGATCTGAATATATAGCTCCATCTCACTATGAATAAGATCACTGATAGTCTCAACTGAAAGTGATTCCCCCCCCCCCCCCCCCAATTGTTGTGCAATGCTAGATATCAGAGACCCATTTGGCCCCCGTGCCAGAAATAATAAAACCCGGGAATTCATACCATAATCAGCTTGCCAATCGGAAGATAATTTTTTTTTAAGATCCCGCATTAACACTGTCACATGTGAAAGATTCAGCTGTTTTGAAATCAGTTTTCCATTTTTGTGCAGTACATCTATGATTTAAGTTACAAGAAGGCCAGGACCATGTGAACAACATAAATACAAAAAGAAATGAAGCTGCAAAAGCTGTGAAATGTGTTTACATTGTGATCCTCCAGTTATATATGTACAGCAAAACATTGCCATGTTATCCCCCAAAGTAGATGTGGAGTAGTTCAAATGATCCAAAAGCCAGTAAAAAAAAGAAAGAAGAGGCAGAGCAAAATGTTATTATGGAAATGTGTGCTGAAGAGAGTGTTCCATTACAAGATTTGGACATTGAGATTGAAGATGCACTAGATGAAAACTAGAAACATGTTTATTCTCACTAATTATGTATTGAAATTGATAAATAAATCATTGGAGCTAAAATAACTATAATATTTGCTAAAATCAAAGCATTCCAAATCTTTCCTTTGATTTTCTGGGAAGTCAGGAGGTAGCTGATCATTTTTGCCTATTTCTCCACGACCAAAAAGAATTTTTAAATTCTGAAAGTTGCTCTTGCCTTTTTAGACTATTCCACACCTATTGCACACTTTCCCCATTTATTTTTGATACTTTTTTAAAAAGTGCGCATGGCAGCCCCAAGGGTTTCTTGCTGACTGGGATCTTATATTATTATTGGTACGAAATTAACTAGATAACACGATAACATTCAAATTATTACCGAAGAATCGTAATACTGGGAAACCCATTAGTGATGCTTTGTCAAGAAAAAGTGAAAAAATTATCTGTATGAAGTGCTTAAATACAGTACCAAGATAGAGGGTGCACTGAGGTAAGTGGAGAGTATCGAGAGATCAAGGACAACTGAGTGTGGTATAAAAGACTGAAGCAAGTGAGAAAAAATCAGACCAATGCTTAGATGAGAAAAGATGGGTGCAGGGATTAAAGGGGAGGCTAAGGCATAATTTAGGGCAGCATGAGTCCAAGCAAGCTACCCTTACCACCACCCCTGTATGCACCCCCACCAGTAAAGAGTGATATATAACAAGTCAGTAATTTGTGGATTGATGAAGCAGCATAAAGTGAATAATAATGAATATCAGAATATGAAATTAAATTATAATTTTTTACTAGAAACATTTCTAACTTACCTTAGTTAAAATATGTTCTCAAGATTATCATGAAAATAGTTTCGATGATAACCTGAAAACCAAATTTACTATTTTAAATTTTTTATATGTAATATTTACCATATTTGTTGGTGGCTGAAGTGCAAGCCTTGCTTGCTGCTTTCGCTGCTGTCTGTAGTATGCTTCAAAGGTCTCACGAGCACCCTGAAAGTCAATGGTATGTTGTACTAAGTGATAAATAGAAATCAGTTATGAGTCAAAGCATAAGATATCATTGTAGGCACACAGCTACTAGCTATAAGAAAATCATAGTAAATATTAGGAGTCATTAGAGACTGCATTTTTTAATAATATCAATACTGACTAGTACAACAACATACAAAGCTTGAAATTAGTTCTTATCACTAAACTAATTGGAACTAAGTTCAGCTCAATTTAGTAGCTCCTCTGTCAAGCTGAGAAATATATTTTAAAGAAATAATCAATTAACAACCTATTATTATATATCTAAAACTGAAATCTTTAACCTTCTATAAATTGAAACCCCCAGGATCTGCATTTGTACAAATATTTTTAGAATGTCTTTGCAAAACTACACAAAGATTCCTAATTTTGAACTGATAGGTTAGAGGAAACATAGCTAGTTCACAGACACTGTCATTTCTTGTGTAACCAAATAGTGGGATCTAGCAAATGCTCTTATGGCACACCCAAAGCCCCAAAGTGCAGTGTGTTTTCTTGTAGCAATGGGGCATGAACTCTGAAACCCTGGATTCTTAGCCAAGACCCTAGAATCTATTATTGATATTTTCTTCTCAATATTTAAACAACAGATAAAATTAGTAATATTTAATACTTAAATACAGATTTTGGTGATCTTTATATGCAGAAACAACAGTATCAGTCTTTCAGAAATGCAAAATTTACTTTACAACTTGTCTATAATATTTATATGTTACCAATTTTATAATCAGCAAATTTAGGAATACAAAGAACTGAAAAACAAAAGAAAAACACGAATGAACAAATAAAAATATTACAACACCAAGATTAGTGTTCTTTTTCCAACAATCCTTTTGTTGCAGTCAGTGACCAAATGTTTTAGTATATCTAGCTGAATTATATTTTTAATTTTTTAAAAACTATTTACTAAACATTTGCAAATAAAATAGGTGGTACATGTTTTTACCTTTTTAAAATTATCTTAATATGTTTGACTTTTGAGTTTACTTTTCAACAATATTTTTACCAAGAGTTTGTTTAAAATAGAGTTTAGATGGAGTATCATTAAGTATAGTAGTAGTACTTAATAGTAGGGATCGTCATGAAACAAACGGCGGCCATATAAATCACCCATTTAAAACTACCTTTAAAATGTTTGAATATTAACAATGACCATTTCACAGTATTGGCTGAACAAAACTAACACTTACTGTACTTATAAAGTTGCCTAGATCGCTATATATGCATTTATGCAGTGAATCAAAATTTCAATATTTGAATGAATTTTCATCTAAGTAAGTAACTTTTCCAGACAAGCATACAGAAAACATGAAGAGCATTATTGCTCTACTTCTTTCAGAGAACTTCTACATCTGGACTCTCAATTACTCCTTTCTTGTACCAAAAAGGATACTAGTATATGTATATATATAAAACGGACGATGTGCTACCTTGGGCATATATTTAGATTTGAGGGTAACTTGGTAGAGATCCTGATGAGTAAAATCAAATCAGGTATATGTTCGCCCACAAAAATATAAAACTTTTATGTCTATTTTTTGCAAATCTGTTATTATGTTAGTCTGAGCCAAAATTGGGATAAAATTTTTTAAATTTTAGGTAACTCAGTTTTTGTAGTTTTGACTTTCTTGGTTCAATACTTTTTGTAGCATCAAAACTTTCTTTATCACTATAGCTAGTTAGGTTACATATATATTGATCCCTACTTGTCTATTTAAAATTTAAAACATTTTTATTATACTTGTTTTAATTACTCTAGAAGATGAAATATTCCCAAACAGTAAGTGGAAAAAGTTGGTTACAATAATCACAAATCATAAGAATTGATGCTACAAGTTTCTAAAAGAACAGTTAATATTCTCTTAATCCTATAAAGACAAGATGCTTCACGTAACTCTCATTAAATTTTTTCCTATATTAAAACCAGTAGGTAAAATTGCTTAAAATTTAATAAAAACTTTCATAAAAATATGTAGTCTGAGAAAAATAAAATACTTAATTTTAGTTCTGTCTACTACTTTCTAATAAAAATTCGTTATTTAATGTAATCATTTGCACTTGGACTCTGATTATTTATGTCAACACACATCAATGGGTACCAGTAGTCGACAGAATAGTATGAATGGCAGAAATATCTTAACGTCCAGCAAAATATTTTTATACACGCTTGGTAGTGTAAGCCTTGCAGGGTAAGGGGAAGCTTTGGTTATTTTATAAAAATTATTAAACCTCTCAACTATGAATTTTAAAAGACAAATGCATAATTAAGTAAAATATAAAAGTAAAACCTAAATACAATTTAACTGTCTCTCTAACTATAACATACTTAGGTAAGAAACAACTGAAGTGCCATCATGAACAAAGCAGCCAACAATAGCATGAGCAGTTACATCTACCCAAAGATGACAATTTGACATCAATTTCAAAATAACCATTGTTGGACTGCAGTGTAAAATGAGCTCTTTATAATGACTATAAACACGTACATGTTGAAAGTACATGTAACTTCTAAAGCTCAATGTTAACTATAGAAGGTACGCATGGCACCTGTCAGGGGTAGATAAAATTTATTTCTTGTTTCAACTGCATTCAGTGAAAGAACATTGAAACAAACATGTAAGTAAACTACATTCTCAACTAGACTTACACATACATGACTACCCCCTTATGATGCTTCAAATTATACTTCACCAAATTTTTAGATTGTTTATAGCTCGTGCATCATGCGACACAAAACTGAGAGATTTTATTTTGTTTTCAATATTTCTTTTGAAATAAAGGAATAAAAACTAGGATAATATAAAACTTTGAACTATTATGTACTTGATAATAATAATTTCATTAAAATACATTGATAATAAAGTGGTTTAATTAAATTCTGAATGTAACTCAGTGACATGTGCAGAAAGGAATTTATAAAGCACATTGTTGTTAGAGTTAAGGTCATATGTTTTTTGTAACTAATGGCATGAAAAAATATTTTTTGGTAACACAAACTCTTATGATCTACAGATAATACAAACACAACCCTCTACAAGACTATAATATTGTTAATATCTAGTCTAATCGTTCCTCTTTAAAAACATACCCTGCTCTTTCACACAATGAAAATCTATATTTTTAAAATTAAGTTGGATAGGACTACATCAAACTAACCAAAACAGAGTATATATGTAAACATCGATAAACAGGGGAAAAATCCACTAAATCCTGAGCACTCAATTCCTCACTGCCTTCATATGGTGAGCTGTCAGCTTCAGGTTCTAGCTCTACTTCTCCAGTAAAAGGATTAGGTGGAGGAGGTGCTTTTCTCTTTTTTCTTCTCCTGATCAAACCAGCCTCGATATTCTGTTGTTCTTCTGCCTAGAAAATAAAAAATTTTTTGCTTTATATCATAAAAAGGAGTGAACTTTTGAAAAAATACTACAGAATGCTTACTTTGATTTCACATTAAAAAAGTAGATTAGTAGTTAACCAG